TCATGTATGTATATACAGTAGGTATATAGGCAAGCCCGGATTAAGGGGGGTCCAGGGGGGGCCATGGCCCCCGGGCCTCCATTTATTTAGGGGCCTCAGATTTGTCCATTATAGGCTATATAACACCGCATAAATCACTTTAAAAAAATCGATGATTATTTAGCGAGGAAAAAAGCTTGTAAACTGTAATTTATAAATAAAATGATACTTAATTCTTGATTTATTGCTATGTACCTATAATACCTATATATTATATTTATTATAACAGGTACCTAGATATTAATATACATTATTTTTTTTTTCGTACAGGGGCCTCATTTAAACTTTGGCCCCTGGGCCTCAAAATGTCTTAATCCGGGCTTGTATATAGGTATATAAATTATTATATACATATAAGTACCTACGTGCGCTGCAGTTCCGCAATTACTCTCGCAATTTCCATCGTACACTTAGAACACATTATATCAGTAGTTCTCAACCTTTTTTGATTCATGTCACCTTCAACAACTAGAATCAAACACTGCGTCACCCTAACATCAAAATAATAATCAATCTTAGCTGTATATTTAAAAATTCTTCTTTTATTAAAAAAAAAAATACAGTACACAAAAAAGGCATGTTCAAAACGTTGACACTTTATGTCATGTACTTGACATTGGTGGTATAGGTGTATAATATATTTATTATAAGAAATAATATGATTGTTTTCGAAAAAATTAATTTTTTAAATTTTTTTTCTTTTCTTGTTAAAATTCTGCGTCACCCCTAAGCTAGTTCCATGTCACCCCAGTTGAGAACTACTGCATTATATCATATAATATAGAACATCGTGTATTGTATGCAATATAATATACTCACGAATAAGTATATAGAAAAATAATACATAGGTACTCGATTCGTCGTCGTTCACCCATATCACCGTGGCATTTTCTTTTTGTTTTTATCTCTATTTCTCTCGATTGAAATTTATATACTGCAGGGCCCTCGTCGTGTTGAGCAGTCACTTCGCATCGGCGTGAATTTGAGGGGGGGAGGGGCAAAGCGCAAAGAATATAACCACAACAATCGAAACCGTGATTTATTTTTTTAATTTTAAACGTCAATGGTGGCGGCAGTCGTCGTTTAGTAATTACGTAAATAGCCGACCTGCGTCCTGCACAAAGCCTCGGCACGCCGAACGTGATTTTCCTATCGAAATATATTATATTTATTTAATCGAAAACCATACCAACTATATACTTACCACCCATATTACGGAAGTAGGTACCGGAAAAAAACGTATCCACGACCACCACAGTGGTGCAGTTAAATTGCCTGTCACAAACGCCGTGTGAACGTGATTTTTTTATAATTACTGCAATTATTGCAGCATTGTTGTGCGTAAAAGAAAAATTAAATAAACACACGCATAATTATATAATGAAATGCTGAAAATAAAAATGGGCCCACGATCGCGTCGAAAGCATTTTAGCCGAGTATAATAGGCACCTAATAAGTGGGTATATTGTTGTATGGAATTAACTATTATAGGACCATAATGTTTACAATAGAGTTTGCGTATTTGTTATACGACGAGTGTGTGTGTGTGTGTGTGTGTACTAAACTCATTACTCGAATAATACCAATACTTGTGGCTAATAGCGGTTGTTGCCATCCGCAATATTTTGGACGAGGCACGTTTGGGCCAGGGACGTTTAGGTCACTAATAAAAATACAATCCAGGATTTTGTGAACCCGTTTGGGACAATTTTTTTAGTAGATTTTAAATAAAGTACTTCTAATTTCTAAATAATTACTAGAAAGCCCGCTTAGGCCGTACTCGCGCGCTTTTAGTTTACATTGGTTAAGCTTAAGTATCGGAGAGCAAAACGCTCCATCGTCGGAGTAATACGATGTTCAGTTTAACTGTGTACCTAAACTAATTTGTTATTTGTAGATTATGTACAGAACAAAATTATTTATAATTGATAACTGACCAAAAACAAACAGTTATATTATACATCATACGTATAATACAATAATAGATATCTCTTAAAAAACGGCCTTATCGGCCGTAATGCTAATTGGCAATATTGCGGTTATACATTATTATTAAAAATTCAAAACACTATGTTCTACGTATGCACAGTGGTGACATCGAGGCCCTGTTCCTATAGCTCATCAGTATAAGTATTTTCAATTTAGGTTTGTGCACTCTTAATATTCGTGTAGTTAAAATGGATACCTGAATCATTTCACTCTCATTATAATTCACAATTTTATACACCCCATCCAAACATTTTCCGAGTAATTTATCCTTCTTTGGTCATTTAATGACCTACCAGGAAACGGTCTTAACAAATTGTTATGTAGGGCGAAAGCTAAATATATACTATTTGCCAAATAACATCACACGTTTCCAAAACTATTCTGGAAATTGTTGACACACCCATCAAGAATTCAAAATGTAGCGCGGTAAAATTAGTTCCAGTAGCTAGGTATCTAAAAAGAGAAGCATTCAAATTTAGCTAATTTTAGATTAGTTTTTGAATTGCAATAATATCATCAACATTAAAGTATATTTTATTTTGTTTGTGCAAAATGCCAAAATAACTATATTGTATACAATAATAATTTTTTTTATGTTCTTTCGTCTAGGTACAATGCACATAATATATTAATATGTGAGAATAATTTTTAATCCTAGATTGGTACCTATTTAATTTAGTTGTTGTTAATTATTTTAAATAAATATAACATGTATTACCTATGGGCTATGCACCTATATGGCTATATAAATACCTATATGATAAAACACTGAATTTAAATCAAAATTAATTTGAAGACCTTTTTTCCGTAAAACTCTCTTACCATTGACGTTTTTTCCTAATATCAGCTGACTGACCGTCTTCGCTCATAATCGTTATTCTTATACAATGATATTATATCATTGGATTCAAATTTAACACAATCCATTACAGTGACTCACTTGTAACCTACTGTACAACAGAGCGACACCCACTTGCCCACCTTTTTTTTTGTTTTGTTTTTTTCTGGCGCTTTTATATTTTGAACTCCCGAATGCACAAACAAGATTCACTTTCCCACCGAGAAAAAAGGACATCATTATAAAATCAATATCGAATATTATGTTAAAAATTGGATTCACTTTCCCATCGAATAAGATATTGAAGTGGAAAATCGAAGCGTTATTTCGACTACTTATCGTGTACATAGAAACAAAAAATAAAGTGACTAATTTCAAGTCACTAGTATGTGTAAACTTTTATTAGGCCTATTTTACAGAACCCTACTTACGAGTTACGAATCAGTATACAATTATTTATTATTATAAATATATTATTTTACCTTATCGTTACCGTTAACCTTTCTTCAGGAGTTATAGAAATACGCATATTTGTATTCTGTTTTTGTATATATTTTCCAACCAGCAAAATCTAGATTGTAAAATACATTGAAGTAAATTAAAAAAAAACTGAATCCATTGAGTTTAGTAATTTAGTTACTATTTATAAAATATTGTATAGACTGACTTAATATTATTAATTTTATAAACTTACTAGTGTATCAAATGACGTTATTGGCATACGAAAGTACTTAGAAAATTCTTCACGATATTGCCGAAGTGTCAAAAATGTGACTTGAAATTGTCCTTCTTCAATTCTTTTCATATTTGATGGGTGTACCCAATGCACTCTTTTTCTGTTAATTTTTTTCTTTTGTAATTGACTTCTTTTATGTAATGCATAATTATACTAACGCGTTCAATAGTGTTAAATGTTTCCATTTTTTGTAAAAAAATGTAATAACCAAACTGATAAAATAATATATTTTATAAAAATACGTACAGAACGACTGCAAATGAACACTACACGCAACTACGATGTCTGAACGACTAATTGGTAAAATAAGAGCTCAGTTGTTTGATTCGAAAATTGGCGGGAAATAATGTTCGCAGGCCATTCGCATCTAGCCATTAATCGAAATTGAGAGATTAAAAACCGCTGCGATTTAAAATCGCGTTCGCCGCCTGAATATTCGCTTCGTGTGAAACCACCTTTATTAGACGCATATAATTATTCATTGAGTAACCGTATGCAAACTATACAAGAGATAAATTAATACCATCGAAAGCGTATTATATTACATACGCGAGTATCAATGAAATTAACGGTGTAATTAAAAAGGGAGTAAATACATAAACACCTTTTTTTTTTTAGTGCACATATTATTTATACCAAACATTATCAATTTTACCTATTTTTTATGTTAAAAATAAAATCAAAGTTTGCTTTAGCCACCGTAACATGCCACCGTTATTTTATTAGTTACTCAGCTTTTACTATATAAATATTCTTTTCTTCGAAATCCTAAAGGAGAAGAAATAACTTTTTGTCGTAGGTACCTTTGAACTGAAATCTGAATTCTTTTTAAATTTGTTTTTCTTAATAAAGATTAAGTGTAAAAGCAGAAATACCGTCAAGCCTGATTATATTAGTGTATTATTTATCATATCATTTGAAAAAGTCCCTCGTTTCAGAATTCTTTTGAAATGCAAAATAAGCAAACTAAAATCGTCAGTTGTATTTAATAATTATACATTTAACTGTCACTAAAAGCAAAACCAAATACTGTATATTTCTTTCTGAAAACTTGTTTTTTGTGTTGTTCAAATTGAATCTTTAAAATAATTATGACTCGTTTGATACTTTTGTGGAAGTAAAAATTAATAAAAATTACTTCTGCGTGTAAACTTCTATCGCAATTTTCATTTTCTACACTCCTATACCTATGATAATATGTAAGATCTGACTCGAACCATACAGATGGTATTTCAAATTTCGCACCATGAAACTGCTGAAAATCGTGTGAATATTTACGCACTCCTCACCGTTTTCTCGTAGCCCGACATTTGAAGTATTGTAAGCTGTATACCTACATTATAATATTATAATATATGTGTGTGTGTACGTGTTCAGGTCGATAATCTAAAACCGGACATGTCGTACGTGTTCATGGTGAGGGCCGAAAACTCATACGGATTGAGCGTGCCTAGCGCGTTGTCCGCTGTGGTGGAAACCAGCGGGACCAATACGATCATCACGCAGCAGTCTCTGGAGGAAGCCCGTGAACGGTTCGGTACTAAAGTCATAGACTTCAAGGAACTGTTTCCGGTATCGTCTACGTCAGTCCGAGTCATATGGGATGTATGTATACCGATTCATATTGAAATGTTGTCGACAGACCATTAACATATTCTATTACATTTATACGTTAGGTGTTGAGCAGTGCCGAATGGGTAGAAGGTATTTACGTACGGTTCAGAGACTTGTCGGGCGGCTCGCAGATCTATAACATGATGACGGTGATGATGAACAACGGTGAACCCAAGTCTTACACATTGGCCAACCTCCGTAAGTACAACAAGTACGATTTCTTCTTGGTGCCGTTCATATGCCGAGTGTAAATGAACAAACTTGACGGTTTTCTAAGAGAACATGTATATAATTGGCCATGTGAAAAGACCGGATTATCGAGATTGTCTTTGTCTCAATGCATTAGCTCGACGGCGTTCGTTTCGTAGCTCTTTACTTTCATCAGCACGTGTGATTGTAGTCTGGTTTCCCATTTTTAGACTAGAAATATAAATATTTTATACATTATTCTATTTACTTTAAAAATAATGTAAAACGCATGTATATTACCATCACAAGTTACTAGTTAGGATATATCTTACCACGTAAAGTAGATATTAAATAATACATTATTCATAGCTTGATTGTATGTAGTTATAATATATTAATATAATATATATTGAATATTCATACTATTATATTTCTATATTCGTTGTAAATATCAACATACTGATCGTAAATGTAAACATATTTACACTCCAACAAATTTATACACTATACAGATCTTAATAAAACTATCTTAATACGACGATACGTAAATATTAAAAATCTCACAAAAATGTACAATTTCAACAGTCTGGAATGCTGATATAAATATAGCTTTAACTGTATTCGACTTTACTCTAATTAATTGAAATGGTGCCTATGTATAATATATTGTATTGAAATTAAACGATATGTTTTTTTTTTTTGCTTTCAGACGCTATCGATTTCAACGGTTATTAGGTATTTACAACAACAGATATTTGTTTTTTCTCTCTTATTTGATCTATATTATTAATATGGTGTTAAAAAATATATAAATAATAATTATTATTAAAAAATTTCTTTATATTTTGTTTATGTATTTCTGTTTATTTTGTTCAGTGGATTTGCCATTACCTTTTCACCGCTCGGTCTCTTATTTCCCGGTGGAGCCCCTTTTGATCGTCTTTCTGGCTCTGGTAGGTGAGTAAAATAAATTACTTTAATATTGATAGCCATAATCCATCATTGCGATTTTTCATAAATATTATAATTATTATTATTAAAACATTTAAAACCTTGTCAAACGGCGTACTCGTCATCGGAGTTCACTGATGCCTTGACGTCCGTTTTCCGAAAACATAATTTTATGCATTAACAATTAACTATTAAGGACTTTGTCAACACCAGGGGTTCTCAATTATAATTGGAAGTATTAACCACTGTAGCTCATTATATTTCTCAATTTCCTATAATAATATATTAATTAAATTAACATGCATTTACAGATCACCCAGTTTGAATAAAATGGATTTTATTGATAATCTAGAAGACTTTTTAAACAATTACTCCAAATTCCAATCACATATTATTTGTGGAGACATAAATTTAAATATTAAGATCGAAGACATCATTTGTATTAAATACCTTAATGTACTTAGTAGATATGGATTTAAATCATGTATTAATGACACTACACGTAGCTTTGGCAATAGTAACACATGTATTGATCATATTATATTGGGTGATTCTTTTATCAAACAACACTCATTATTTCAAAAAGTGTAAATATTTTTGAAGATATTTTTTTACATAGTTTCAAGTCGCTTATAAAACAACGTTTTTATTAAAAAATTATTTTTTTAATTATTTTTTATCCTTATAATTTTTTAAGTTTTTTACTTTTTTGAATGACAACATAGGGTTTTAATTTTATATTCTAAAGTAGAATATTTTTCTTAGTATTTTGATACATGAAAATTGAATTTGGGGCGAGTAGTTTATGAGTTATAAGTATTTAAAGTTTAGACGAGCGGAGTGGAGTGGTTCGGGGTTACCCCCCCAAATGTTTGTCCACTTCACCGCTCGTCTAAACTTTAAATACTAATAACTCATAAACTACTCAACCCAAATTTGATTTGCATGTATCAAAATACTAAGAAAAATATTCTGCTTTGGAATATAAAATTAAAACCCTATGTTGTCATTCAAAAAAGTAAAAAACTTAAAAAATTATAAGGATAAAAAATAATTAAAAAAATAATTTTTTAATAAAAAAGTTGTTTTATAAGCGACTTTAAACTATGTAAAAAAATATTTTCAAAAAAATTTACACTTTTTGAAATAATGAGTGTTGTTTGATAAAAGAATCACTCAGTATTCATTAAAAACAAACAGGCATTTAATCATATTTGTGGATACATTTATCAAAGTGTTATTACGGATCATTACAGTACTATTGCTGTACTATCTACCCCACGAAACAATAATAATATAAATACAGTTGATAACAATACCGATAATCATAATTACAATTTTACTAATATAGACAATTTAAATAATATATTAAAAAACATAAACTGGACAGAAGTTTTAAAATCAACTGATGTAAATGTAGCTATTGACTTATTCACAACTATTATTGAAAATAGTATAAAAAAATCACAAGAAACTAAAATAAAAAAGATACCAAAAAATAAAAAACGATTAAAAAACTGGATAACAATAGGAATTATTAATTCTATGAGACATCGGGATAGATTATATGCGAAATTAAAAAATCAACCATTTAACATTAAATTGCAAGAGATTTATAAAAAGTATAGGAATCTACTAAATGTAACCATAAAAATAGCAAAAGACGTATATTTTTATAAACAAATTTCTAATGTTAAAGGTAATACTAAAAAAATATGGGAATTTATAAATGAAGCCTTAGATAATAAATCTAATAAAACTAACTTTATACCAACAATCCTAAATCGTCAAAATCAAATTGTAACAGATATTATTAGTATTGCAAATGAGTTCAATTCTTTTTTCGTGTCTATAGGTACAAATATTTCGAATAAATTGAAATCACATATAAACATAAGAAAATTTACATTTTTAAATGATATTCCAGTAAATGATAAAAGTATATTCCTAAACCCTATTTCAACTGATGAAATTAAAAAATATATATAAAATATTAAACCAGCATGTTAATTCAATAGGTGGGAATTAACAAACACGATTTTAAAAGCTATTATTTTTAATATTCTTACACCATTACAATATATTTTTAATCTAGTTCTTACTACTGGTGTTTTTCCACAATCATTCAAAAATACTATCATTATCCCGTTACATAAGAAGTTAAATAAAAGTGATTGTACAAACTTTCGACCAATAGCACTTACAATTACACTATCCAAAGTATTAGAAAAGTGCATCAAATATAGGCTTTACAACTTCTTAGAAACATGTTCGATATTTTCCTGTAACCAATTTGGTTTCAGGAGAAACAAAGGTACCGATAAAGCTTTAATGACTGTAATTAGTCACATTTATAACAAACTAGATATGAATAGAGCAGTAATAGGACTTTGTCTAGATGTTAAAAAAGCTTTCGATTCTGTTGACCATTCAATATTGCTAGCCAAATTAGAAAAATACGGTATCAGGGGCAATGCAAATAAACTTATATGTAATTTTCTAGAAAATCGTATTCAACAAGTAAGAGTAAATGACAGTTTAAGCGATTATCTGATATCAAATCATGGAATACCGCAAGGTACTGTATTGGGTCCTCTTCTTTTTATTGTTTATATTAATGACTTATTGAATATTAAGTGTAACGGATCAATTTTCAGTTTTGCTGATGACACCTCAATTATTATAGATGACATAAATAAAAATCATATTCAGAGTAAATCGACGCATGTATTAAGTATCGTCAATACTTTATGTTTGATAATAACCTCCTAGAACTTAATTTAACAAAAACTTGCTTTATGAACTTTAGTATAAATAAATTGGTATCCACTGGAAAAAATTATCTTAAGGCGCACCTCATAAATTGTAACGAATTTAATATAAATACAATGTCTGCTATTAGTAATGACAGTAAGTGTAATTGCACTTATATTTCTTCAGTACAACAAGTAAAATATCTAGGTATTACTATAGATGCTAACCTTAAATGGCAAAACCATATTATTAATACAACTAGAAAGCTCAGACTGTTGTTCTATAAATTTAAAACTATCAACAACATACTATCACCAATCACAATGAGAATGGTATTCGTAGCTATGGCTCAGTCAATTTATTCATACGGTATTGGGAGTTGGGGTGGTGCATACGATATATATCTAAATTCACTTGAAACCACTTTAAATTCTCTTATTAAAATATCTTTTAAAAAACCCTATAGGATGAGCACTGTATTGTTATATAAAGAATGTAATCTTTTAAATTTAAATCAATTATATACACGACATATATTATTGAATATGTTTTTCCTTGATGTTCAAAAATTTAAATTTAAACATAACCACTGTACAAGAGCTAAGCAAACCAATATGTATTTAATTCCTAAGTGTAGAACGGAATTTGGAAAAAGAAACCCCTTGAATGCTGGAATTAAGATGGCTATGGAATTAAATATTGACGTTGGTTTGTTTAGAATCTTTAGATTTTATAAGAAAATGGTAAATGAAAAAATCAAATTGCTAACATAGATAATTTTTCTGTATTCATGTCAAATTGTTATATTTATTATGTATTTCTAAAATATTTAAAAATTTATATTCATGATGCTTATTTTCACATAATCAACTATGATCGACTTATAATGTGTTAATTTAATTATTTAGTAAATGTAAGAGATATTTTTAAGAACCTTGTCTCCACAACAAGCCTAGCTTACGGAGACAATCATTTATATATAATGCCAAATTATAATATGTATAAATATTTGTAATTTTACATGTATGTATACATTTCTGTTTTAAATGAAAACAAATAAATAAATAAAAATAATACCTAATATTATATTGTGATCTTTATGCCACGGTGAAAGTGGAAGCTTATGAGATAAGAGACAGAGGCCCACTTTAACACAGAAATTAAATTATAATAAAAATATTGATTATTAAACAGTCATTTCAGTTGCTAATAAAAATGATAACTTATAAGAATTGTAAGAAGACGAAGTCGAAGACGTACAAATCACAATATTTTCATCAATAGCGATTATAGAGCTGTGAAGATTACATGATAGTGGCTGCCTCCTGCCTTATAAATAATATTCTTAGAATAGCTG